AGCTTTTCTATTATTTCATCAATAATGTCTTTACTTTTCAAGAGCTTCTTCATGTTTTCTGATTGCTCCTTTTCTATAGTACTTGTTCTTAAATTGTGGATGCATTATATTTTATTAATTTATTAATAATAACACATGCTTCTGGGACAAAACTCAATAGGCTAAAAAAAAAATGCTTGTGACAAGCTCTCTCTCTCTCACCAACTCCCAGCCCTAAAGACAGCCTTGTTTATAATTTAGTATGAATCCTTCAGAGATATTTCTTGAATTTTAAAATTATACATGCCTTTTAAAATACTTTTTAAATCTCTTTGAAAATATAGTTTCAGTTTTATTTTTTCTATTCTCTTTCGTAAATTTTCTTGTATTTATTGGGAATCGCGTATTCTCTTCATCTTGGAATTCTGACTTTGTGTTTCTGTAATTTTTTCATATGATTTGGTGTCCAGTCACATGTAAACATGGACTGTATTATGCTTTCTAGGTAGCAGATATGGATTTTCTCCTGTTATAAATATTAGGACATTTTCTTGTTCATTCCCACCTGAGTAGAAATCTTCCTGGGAGCTAAACTCATGTGTGGTGATGGTGGCAAGGAGGGAGTAGACGGAGTCAGTACAAAGGGTTTATTTTAGAATAAGTGGTTGACAGTTAGTCCATATGCTGATTAGGTGAACAGACAGAGGCCAGAATCCACCCAGCAGCCTTCTCTCAGGCAAGTTTGCTCTATGCATTTACATACAATTCCAGTCAATGCCATGTTTTCCATCTCTCTTCTCACTCCCACATCCACCCCTGCCAACTCCAAGTTCAGAGTCCCTCTGAACTGGGTCTTGGATTTGCCTAGCAGCTCAGTTCTTTCCACACTACTGGCCTTCTTTGCATTTACACTGAACTGTTTAGGACCGTAGCTTCCACCAATCTGCAGTAGTCATTAGTACCTTCCACCAGGTGAAATCTCTCATCTGCTGGTGGTTCCCTCTAGTACACCGTCCTTGGAAAAAGTTCTGGGCTTTGATAAATAATGCAGTTCAAATACTGCAGTCTAGCCTGATACAACATTTGTTTAATAACATAAAAGGAGAGCCCATGGTGAGGGCTGGTACTTCTTTATAGGTGGATATTTTTAATGTAAGGAGACTGTTAATCTGTTATTGTGGGTTTAGAGACACATTTTTGGGGGGAGTCCTAGAACAGAGGAGGGAGAAGAAATGCTATTTTTATTCACTGGTACTTACATCTTTCCTCACTCCCCATCTGGAAGATTGGTGTTTTCCTAAGAGACATCTGGTAGCCTTGTCTGTTCCAGGGCTTAAAGAAGGAAAATGTACTGTAGTTATTATTTCTTTCTTATAAATACAGCATCTTGCAATGGTTGCAGCACTTTGGGTATCATCACAGTTTCATCTCCTTGGGAATATTTCTCATTTCCTATATGGAGGTACATTGTTTTCTTCTTCTGACAGAAGGACCTCATTCATTCATCTAGGCTTCTAGCAACACTATAAAAATCAGAAGGGAAAAAACTTCAGAAGTTGCAAAACAGATGATTAACAGCAATGCTATGGCCTTATTAAGTTAAGGATATCATGCTGTTTACCCATTCGCACATGCTTATTGATTTAATGTTTTGTAAATTTAGCTCTCTTCAGTCTCAGCTGATGTGTGGGTGCATACACCAGCCAGACTGAGGTTTATGCCGTAAGTGAGAAATCACCTGATAATTTATGGGTGGTGAAATCCAAAGTCAAACAGGTTTCCCCTCAGGAGAGAGAAAAACACATGTGGCCCATTTTTGACAACTCTCTTCTGTGGCTCTTTCATTTTAAGGAAGTCCACACTTTCTGGTGGGATTGTTGAAGGGAGAATTGAGTGATTCGATCAGTCCACATTTTTTACAAAGAGTCTCTGAGCTAATGTGCCTGAATGATGGATTTTTTTCTTGCTTTTTTCCTACGTCTGTGCGGAGGCTGGACGTACACTAATGAGAACATCCTGGGAGTTCAGCAGCCACATGTGGGATGGCTGGATGGCCGGCAGCTGTTACTAAGTGACTGGCCCCTGGAGACGCCATGCTGAGGGAATTATTAGTAAAACAGGTCCTGAAAAGTGTCTGATATGAGCTACCCCCTTTCTTACATGTCCTTTGCTTGACAAAAGAGCTACCTGTTGTTTTTTTTTAAATGAGGGAAATGGGTTTGGTTTCTATTGGAGAGAGGGCATATATCATTTGGGGAGGAGAGACTGGGGGAGAACTGCTTGAAGGTTCTCTTGGAAAGACACCCAGCACACTCATACACATACATACACACATGCCTGCAAATGTACTCATGTTCACACATATGTACTTAATGATGAGAAGGATGGAGAATGCTGAAGGCAAAAACTGAGGAGCCAACCAGTCAGTCCCCTCCTCCACAACCTTGCTCTTCCTTTGTTTGGAGAAGTCTATGGCAACCCAAGTGTACCTGAGCCAGAAAACTGATCGAAAGTACAAAAGCTTGTTTCAAAAGTTGTTTACTCTCACAGCACCATGGATCCTTCAGAGACCACGGGCTTTAATGCAAGATATAAGCTGCTTTGCCTTTGTTTTGCCACTGGCCATCATGGAGGAGAGACAGAATTGGAAGTCAGGAAGTTGACTCAAAGACTAAAGCTGGAAAAGGGAGGAAATAGAATGGGAGGCATGCAGTAGTCACTGGTCCATAGTCACTCTGGAAAACAGACAGACACATGTTCATTTCTTGATGGGAGCCCAGTTTCGCTCCTTGGGAATGATTCTCTGTTGTTTTTTTTTCTTAGTTTCAGCTGACGGTGCTTCTATTCAAACAATTCTCTTTAATATTCTATGGGTTTTCCATGAATTGTTTCAGCCCTTTTAAGAAAGCCATAACCTCATATCTCTTTAAGATAAGTTCTCTTCTACCTTGGAGTCCTTGTGAAGCTGCTGTGTGACAATTCCTTAAGATTCTAAAAAGTCCCATTGCATAATACGGTCTGTAAGGTACATGTTAAGGTCTTTGGAAAAACTTGTCTGTCTGAGTCTCTGAGATACCATCTTACATCATTCTGAGGTCTTATAAAAGGATCTTACAGGCCCATCCTAGATTTGATCTTTGCCGGGAAGCCGTTTCTTAATTTGAGAACAGTTTGCCATCTGAACAGACTGAGAAAAGACATCTTTAATGTTCAAATCTAGAAAGTCTTGGCTTCTTTATATGTCTTCCAATTTTCCTTGAAACTGAACAATTGCTATATTATTATTTTTTTATTTCTGGGCAACAAAGTTATCACAAACTTGGTAGCTAAAAGCAACATAAATTTATTATCTCATAGCATATTTCAGCTGGGTCCTCTGCTCAGGGTCTCACCTGGCTAAAATCAGCCAGCTGTTCTCATATGGAGGCTCAACTGGAAGAAAGAGGTGCTTCCAAGCGCCCTCAGTTGATGGCATAATTTGTTTTCTCGTACAACTGAGGTTTCTGTTTCTTGCTGTTTTCAGCTCTTAGAGGACACTGTCAGGTCCTTACCATTTGGCCCTTCTGGAGCCCTCTCACACTTTAAATCTCTTTACAGAAAGGGACCACTCCCTTTTAAGGGCTCACCTGTTTAGGTCAGTCCTACCTAGGATAATCTAACTGGAGTTAACTGATTAGGGACTTTAATCACATCTGCAAAATTCCTTCTACCATATAGCATAACCTGATCATGGGTACAACACCAGGAGGTGGAGATCATGGGGGCCCTCTTAGAATTCTCCCTGCCATAGGTTATTTTTGGGTCATTTCTCTTCTCTCATTTCACTACTGGCAGCTAAAACCCCAAGCAGAACCATCCATGTTCTTCATGGAAACTTCCTTAGCTCATCTTCAAGTTTATTACAGTTACCATTTCCCACACTCTGCTACTGTATAACAAGGGCCCACTTTTCTCCAGCTTCCGGTCATTTTAACTCTCTTTCTTTTAGGCACTCACTGGCAGCTTCCTCGGGAGATTTAGACTTCTGCTAACACTCTTCCCAAGCCCCTTTAGGTGTTCACTAACACTCTCCTTGTGTCCCTTCCAGCTACCATGAAACATGAGATGGCAAAGCGGATGGCACATTTTGGGTTTTTCTTATGGCAGCAGTATCAAAATCAGGTATAAGTACCAAAATCTGCATCACTTATTCACAGTTGTATAGAAAGCCACTCTAAAACGTAGCTTAAAACAACAACAATCTTTTTTTTTTTAAGCTCACAAATCTGCCAGGAAAATGCCAGACATAGGTCTGTGTTTACTGAATCAATTAACACATAAGATGAGATGAGAGTACTCTGTTAGCTTAAAATTCTCTGGGCTAGGAGTTCTACTTTTTAGCCATCAAAAATTAGTTTTTTGGACCAAACTCCCCACTGAGAACTAGAAAAACTGGAACATATACACACATACACACCCCAAGGAAGTTAAGATGTGTGGAGAAATATCCTAGGGAGAGGAAGGAAGCCAAAAGAGGTGAGTCTGGCATTTGGTGCCACTATCTTTTCAGGAGAGACAGTATTCTTACAAGCAGTACATGAGAAGCCTAGCAGAACTTTAAGCAGACACAGGTCTAGGGGGCAGAAACTGAAGTTCAGGGCTTTCTATAGAGGAGGGATCTATTTCTAGAGGTGAGTTGGGACCACAAAAGGGTATACACTAGGAGCACAAGTAAACTGGGGATAGACTAGCCCTACCAGATACTAACATCCAACTTCTAATCATTTCAATTTCTGATTATAAGGTGATCTGGAGGGCCTAGCTCAAGGCCAAATTCCAAAAGTAAAAAAATTCTCACTGAAGGAAGGTAACGTCATCCTGAGCTTCAACCTCCTCTCCCCTACTGCCTTTTTAAAAAACATACAGTGTCTGGTACCCAATCAAAAACACTGCTATATGTTATATACGAAAGTTGTTAGAGTAAATCTGAAAAGTTCTCATCACAAGGAAATTTTTTTTCTTTTTATTTTGTATCTATATTATGATGGATGTTCACTGAACTTTTTGTGGTGATCATTTCACGATGCATGTTAGTCATATCATTATGCTGTGCACCTTAAATTTATACAGTGCTGTATGTCAATTACATCTCAAAACTAGAAGGAAAAAAAGGTAGAAACTGACCAACTGTTTATAAAATCCATATGGAAATAGACAGAGCTAATAATAGCCGAGATAATCTTGAAGAAAAAGAACAGAGTTGGAGGAGCCACACTATAGAATACCAATACTTGTTCTAAACCTATTATAATTGAGATGGTGGTACTGGCACAAGGACAGACTAATAAAGAAATGGAAGAGAACAGAATCCAGCAAAAGACCCACCCACACATGGACATGTGACAATGTAAAAGGTGGCACAGCAGAGAAGGGAGAAGATGCTCTTGCAGCAAATGGTGCTGGATCAGTTGGAAACCCATTAGAAAGAGAAAACTGAAAATAAAATTCAGAAAATAAAATTTTCCTGTTCCCCTGGTCATGGTAGGAAAAAATGCTAGAAAAAAAACAGGCATATATCTTCATGAAGTCAGGTTGGCAAAGAATGGAACACAAAAAGTACTAGCTATAGAAGAAAAGATAAATAAACTGGAGTAAATTAAATTTAGGAACTTCTGTTCCTAAAGCAAAAGACACAAATAAGAGAGTGGAAGGCAAACCTCTTCCACTATGTGGGAAATAATATTTGAAAAACATGTAACAGACAAGGGGCTTGTATCCAGAATGCTTAAAAATAACTTCCATAAATCTGTAATAAAAATATAGATAATCCCATAGGAAGATATTCAGATGGCCAATAAGCATATGAAAAGGGGCTCATTATTATTACCAATCAGGGAATTATGCAAAGAAAAACCACAATGAGATACTGCTACACTCCCAAAAGAATGGCTAAAATTATAAAGACTGACAATATCAAGTGTTGGTGAGACTCTGGAACAACTAGAACTCTCATGCACTTTTCCATTCTGGAAAAAGGTCCATTACACTTATACGTATCTTATAACCATACTAGTCCTCTCCTAGGTTTAGACTGAAGAAAAATGCTTGCAAATATGGACCAAAGGACACATACAAGAATATTCATATTGGGAGGAAGGGGTATAGTTCAATGGTAGAGTGCATACTTAGCATGCCTGAGGTCCTGGGATCAATCCTCAGTACCTCTATTAAAAAAAAAGAATATTCATAGCACCATTATTTGTAATTGCTAAAAATTAAAAAAAAAACAAAACAAGGTTCTATCAACCACCAAAGATAAATATCACATGGCTTAATCATATAGTAATAAAGAACATGTAGAAATGACAATGAATGTGTCTCTACTATACGTCATGGATGAACTTCACAATGTCAAGCAAAATAAGTCACCCTCCCCCATACACACACACAAATTATATAATTACCTTTATATAAAGTTCAAAAACAGGCAAAAATAATCTTGAGTGCTTTACTTTAGGGAGTATGGAGGAAGTAGAAATTGGAGGGTGGGCTTTTCCCCAGGCTCATGGAGCTTCAGCTCACACATGCAGAGGTCAGTACCCAGCCAGAGACTCAGGGAACCCACTGCTAATCTCTAGAGGGTTCTCTTTACAACTTCCTCATCTATGATACTTTGCTGCACAAATCCACACCATCTTAGCCTCCCAGAACCCCACAGCAAGACCCTCAGGCTCTCTCAGGTATCCCCCTTTGTGAACTGAGGCCTGGAAACAGCCTCCAGGAAGGAAGCTGGGGCAATTGAAGGGCTCACTCATTTTTTGCCTCCTTCCATGGATCACAGTTTTGCAAAGGCCTGTTATCCAATGTCTAAAAACTAGTTGCATATATTTTCCCCAGGTTTTTAGTTACTTATGGTAGAACCACAGTAATAAAAGTGCATATATTTGGATTCTATTCCTGGAAATTCTGATTCAAGGTGAGGTCCAGGTATCTCCATTTTGAAAAAATTTATAAAAGTGATTCTGCAATGCAGGTCCCTGGTTGTCTATGAAGAAAAAGAGGCCATTGCCACTGACAGACCTATGGGTCCCTATTTGAAATAGCGCCGGTCACATTTACACACACACTGGTGTGCATTCAATTATTATATATTATCATTTCAATCAGCATGTATTTATATATACATTATTTTAACTATACTGAGCATTGTGACCCTATGAATTTGAACTCTAAAGTGAAAATATATTCACCATTTTAAAGTACAGAATCAAGCTGGCTTGGCATGCATGCTTAATTTTTTAAAATCATGTTGGATATCTCCTTAAAAATAACATCTCTGTTCAGGAATTTTTTAAGATTTATTGATCTTTTAAGAAAGTTGCTGAGACCATTTACATCTGGATTCCGTAATCTGTAGGGGGTTTTAGATTATGCAAACACACATACACACCATACCTTGCATACATATGTGTTTTAAAATATTATAATAGCATTAATAGCTAGTATTTATTGAGCACTTATTTGCCAGGCACTGAACTAAGTTCCTTATATTGATTATATGCTTTGAAACTCAAAACCATCATAAAATGTAGGTCTTGTCATTACCTCCTTTTATGAGGTTAGTGTCTTGCTCAAAGTTAGGCAATGAGAAGGTGCAGAACCACAAGCCAGCTCAAGTGTTTGTGATTCAAAACTGTGCTTGTAAAAACTATGCTGCAATATCAATGTAGAATCAGAAAATTTCCCCCAAATATTTTGAAATAAGAAAATGAAAAAGTGAAGGAATTTTTGACCAAACTTTCTTTTCTCAGATTAATAATTTTTCTAAATAAACCTCTTTCATGGAAAGATGTAGAGTGAAAAATTGGCAAATGGGAATTTTTCTAATGATAACCCTTTTCCCTCAAGTAAGCAATGACCTTTCAAATCAATATTTACTATTATTGACTGAAATTTAAACATACAGTAAGTTCAACTGAAAAAGGAAGCTTTGCCGTATCAAAGAACTCTGACACAGATAAAGAAGAAAATGATTAATCCTGTGGGAATC